CAGACAGACAGACAGACAGACAGAGATAAAGACAGACAGATGGACAGACGGACGGACGGAGAGGCAGACAGAAAGACAGACGTACAGACAGACAGAGATAAAGACAGAAAGACGGACAGACAGACAGAGAGACAGACAGAGATATAAAGACAGACAGGCAGACAGAGATAAAGACGGTCAGAGATAAAGACAGACAGACAGAGATAAAGACAGACAGGCAGACAGAGATAAAGATGCACAGAGATAAAGACAGACAGACAGACAGACAGACAGAGATAAAGACAGACTGGCAGACAGATTGACAGACAGACAGAGATAAAGACGGACAGAGATAAAGACAGACAGACAGACAGACAGACAGAGATAAAGACAGACTGGCAGACAGATTGACAGACAGACAGAGATAAAGACGGACAGAGATAAAGACAGACAGACAGACAGACAGACAGAGATAAAGACAGACTGGCAGACAGATTGACAGACAGACAGAGATAAAGACGGACAGAGATAAAGACAGACAGACAGACAGACAGACAGAGATAAAGACAGACTGGCAGACAGATTGACAGACAGACAGAGATAAAGACGGACAGAGATAAAGACAGACAGACAGACAGACAGACAGAGATAAAGACAGACTGGCAGACAGATTGACAGACAGACAGAGATAAAGACGGACAGAGATAAAGACAGACAGACAGACAGACAGACAGAGATAAAGACAGACTGGCAGACAGATTGACAGACAGACAGAGATAAAGACGGACAGAGATAAAGACAGACAGACAGACAGACAGACAGAGATAAAGACAGACTGGCAGACAGATTGACAGACAGACAGAGATAAAGACGGACAGAGATAAAGACAGACAGACAGACAGACAGACAGAGATAAAGACAGACTGGCAGACAGATTGACAGACAGACAGAGATAAAGACGGACAGAGATAAAGACAGACAGACAGACAGACAGACAGAGATAAAGACAGACTGGCAGACAGATTGACAGACAGACAGAGATAAAGACGGACAGAGATAAAGACAGACAGACAGACAGACAGACAGAGATAAAGACAGACTGGCAGACAGATTGACAGACAGACAGAGATAAAGACGGACAGAGATAAAGACAGACAGACAGACAGACAGACAGAGATAAAGACAGACTGGCAGACAGATTGACAGACAGACAGAGATAAAGACGGACAGAGATAAAGACAGACAGACAGACAGACAGACAGAGATAAAGACAGACTGGCAGACAGATTGACAGACAGACAGAGATAAAGACGGACAGAGATAAAGACAGACAGACAGACAGACAGACAGAGATAAAGACAGACTGGCAGACAGATTGACAGACAGACAGAGATAAAGACGGACAGAGATAAAGACAGACAGACAGACAGACAGACAGAGATAAAGACAGACAGATGGACAGACGGACGGACGGAGAGGCAGACAGAAAGACAGACGTACAGACAGACAGAGATAAAGACAGAAAGACGGACAGACAGACAGAGAGACAGACAGAGATATAAAGACAGACAGGCAGACAGAGATAAAGACGGTCAGAGATAAAGACAGACAGACAGAGATAAAGACAGACAGGCAGACAGAGATAAAGATGCACAGAGATAAAGACAGATGGACAGATGTACAGACAGACAGACAGAGATAAAGACAGACAAGCAGACAGAGATAAAGATGCACAGAGATAAAGACAGATGGACAGATGTACAGACAGACAGACAGAGATAAAGACAGACAGGCAGACAGAGATAAAGATGCACAGAGATAAAGACAGATGGACAGATGTACAGACAGACAGACAGAGATAAAGACAGACAGACAGATGGACAGACAGACAGAGATAAAGACAGACAGACAGATGGACAGACAGACAGAGATAAAGACAGACAGGCAGACAGAGATAAAGATGCACAGAGATAAAGACAGACAGACAGACAGACAGAGATAAAGACAGACAGGCAGACAGAGATAAAGATGCACAGAGATAAAGACAGATGGACAGATGTACAGACAGACAGACAGACAGACAGACAGACAGACAGACAGACAGACAGACAGACAGACAGACAGACAGACAGACAGACAGACAGACAGACAGACAGACAGACAGACAGACAGACAGACAGACAGACAGACAGACAGACAGACAGACAGA